AGATAATCATAGGTCTTCAAAGAATATAAAGGACCTGTGTGATTTACTCCTACTACTAATGTTTGAATAAATTTTTGTACCCTATTTTAAGCCACTGGGGTTAGGATCATCATTCTCATCATTGGAATAACTATCAAAAAATAAACCTATAGCTCTTTCTCTTTCCAGCATTTAAGATGTAATACTTTAATCCAATGGTAAAGTAAAATATGATATGGTACTAGACTTTTTTCACAATTAAGCCAAAATATTCTTATATTGGGAATACTGGGAATAGAATCCATTATCTTTATGAAATATAGCAAAAAAAAAAAACTGCAAAAGAAGAGTTACTGGGCCTGGAGTGTTGCTAAAAGAATTATTTTGAAAAAGTTTCCAAATATTTCCAATAGCTAACTAGGACCCTTTATATTTTTGTTTTTATATTTTTTTACCCACTCTTACTTGCAGAACTCTTCTGGCTCAGAAATATTCCTAGTTCTCCTTGTATGCACTATTGTTCGAGATCTCCTCACAGATAATATTCAAGTCTGGGGAATGGGAAGGCTATTCCAAAACCTTTAGCTTTCTTTCCTAAGTGTTTACTGGTTGATTTGGAGATATCTTTCAGATCAGCATTGTGCTGAAATATCCAAATTCTTTTCAGATTCATTTTCTTCACTTACTGTGGGACATCGCTCAGGGGATAAGTAGTAGGAAGTATGGATAGTTTTGAAAGAGAAGTACTTTTATGTAGCATGGGATCCTTTTCATACCGATTCAGACTATTCCAAAACATATTTAACCCAATACATTCTTGAAATAACCAAAAGAACTGCTCAGCCCTGCTATAACTTTGAATCAGAACCAATCCAGATCATAATATTTTTTAATTTTATTTATATTCTGCCTTTCAATAGGTGAATACTCAAGTCACCTAACAGAGTATAGAAACCAAAAAGCAGATACAAAAAGTTACAAACACAGGTCAAAATTAACACTATAATAGGTACTAACATCTTTTCATAATTAAAGCCTAGTGAAAGAGAGGAGTCTCAACAGATTTCCTAAATACTGAAAATGTTGAGACCACAAGCAATTCCCAGAGCAGAGTGTTCTATTAGCTGGGAGCAATGCAGGCTCTTTTTGATCTACCAGCAAGTCAGGCATCGGCGTCAGGAACATGTTCTAAAAGCTTCTCTGACAAATATGGACAACTGCTCAGATTTGTAACAGGAGAAGCAGTCCCATAGATCAAATTTCTCAAAGTTGTGGCCCATGTGCCAAATGCAAGGCTCCAAATCATTTTCTGTGGCATATAACAGTATTTCACAGGTAGACATAATACCCAGCAAGCCAGGATAGAAAGAAGTGGCAATGGCCTGGCAACTCACCAGTCAACTTGGTAGGTCTTCCACAGCTGCCATTTCGAGGTTTCTCATGCTGAGTAGCACCTCATTCTGGGAACCTCCAGCCACTCTCACATTCCATGACAGGTACTATTTCTGAGGCAGCACTCTGGAAGGGATAGCAGGGAGGCAAGGTTTGGCCAGAGAAAAGGTGCCAAACCCGAAGGAGCAGAGGTGCTTGGATGCCACTTAAGCAGAGTCCACTGTGATGAATGAATCAATGTCTTATGTTGTAATCTGGGAATCTTTTGGTCTTGAAGAGGCTTCTGTAGTTTTGTTCCAGTATGTGTTTGGCTTTAGTTTAAATTAGTTTATTAGATGCCTAGAAATCTTATCAGGCTTATTTGATTATTGATAATTGCATTTTAATTTCTTTTATTTTTATTTGTTTTGTTATTTCACTGTAACTCACCCAGAGTCTGTCGGGATAGGTTATAAATATTCTACAATAAATAAATATATAAATAATAAACCAAATGTTAGTGTTCTAGTTAATAGCATAGTTTGGCTGCTATAAATGGCCAAAATGAAATTGCTATTTTGTAGCTCTGATTTGCAAATAATGCTGTTTTAGTTATTTTTAATTTAATACATTTAAGTTGAAAGGAATACCATGATACTCTTTATTTTCTTCATTTTCTTCATTTTTTTTTTTTTACCTTCTAGAGACTTTTGTATCAATGTATAAAAAGTTTTTTGTGTTGTGCTCTAAGGCTAATGAACTAGTTTCATGAAGCATTTGATTATTTGGATTTGAGATCTCTACAGTAGATTATTTTGTACCATCAAGTCAGTGTCAATTCTTACTGACCACTTAGACAGATTTTCTCCAGGAGAATCTGTCCTCAACCTGGGCTGTCAAGTCTTCCAAAAGTGTACTCATGAGTGCTGTAACTGAGTCCATCACATTGCTGCAGGTTGTTCTCTTTTTCTCTTTCCTTCCACTTGTCCCAGCATTATAGATTTCTCTAGAGAGCTAGGTCATCACATTATATATCCAGAGTATGACAATTTGGGCCTGGTCATTTGTACCTCAAGTGAGAACTTTGGGTTGATTTCCTCGATGATGCATTTGTTTATTTTCTTGGCTATCTATGGTATTCTCAAGAATCTTCTCCAACACCAAAGCTCAAAAGCATCAGTATTCTTTCTATCCTGCTTCTTCTAAGTCCAGTTTTCACTTCCATAGAGTGTCATATCCAGTATCTTAATATTTTTTGCAAGGCTTTCATTGCTCCTCTGTGGTGAATTTCTTGATGGCTGGTTTCTTTACTGTTGATAGTTGATCCTAAAAAGGCAGAAGCTATCTACCACTTCAATATTTTGATTGTCAATTCATAATGCTGGCTGCTGTATCTGTTGTCATTAGATTGGTCTCCTTTATACTTAATCTTAGACTGATTTTTTTCATTATGCTCCTTGACTTTCATTACTAGAGCTTGCAAATCATTTATATTTTCAGCTATCAGAATACTGTTATCAGTGCCATAAGTAGAGCATAAGTTATTGATATTTCTTTCCCTAGTTTTAAAACCCCACTTATAGGTTAAATAAATAAGGGGACAGTATACAACCTGTTTGTTTCATCATGCTTTGGCTGTACCTGACCTGTGTATCGGTTTTACATGAGGACAATGAGATTTTCTGGGATTCTCATTTTTCTAAGCACATTCCACAGTTTGAAATGTTCAACACAATCAAATACCAATGAATACACACACACACATGTGTGTGTGTGTGTGTGTATTGCCTTTGAGTCAGTCTTGACTCCTGGTGACTTCCCGGACATGTCCAAGCATTTTGCTTGGCATGAGTGGTTTGCCATCACCTCCTCCCTAGGGCTAAGAGAGAGTGACTGGCCCAAAGTCATCCAGCTGCCTTTATACCTACAATGGGACTAGAACTCATGGTCTCCTGGTTTCTAGCCTGGTGCCTTAGCCATTACACCAAACTGGCTCTCTGTTGAATGAAGCATGTACTGACTGTGGTGAATGATCCTAAGCATTATTTTGCTAGCATATGAAATTAAGGATATTGTACAATCATTTGAAAACTCTGTTATATCTCCTTTCTTTGGTATTAGGCTATAGACAGACCTCTTCCAATCTGTTGGCCACTGTGTTGTTCTTCAGATTTGCTGGCATAGCTTGGTTAGAACTTTGACTGATTCTTCTTCTGTTGCTTGCCATATTTCTGTAGATATTCCATCAATTCCTGTAGCCTTCCAAATTGGTAATGACCAGAGTGCTGATCTAACTTCATCTTCTAATACTAAGGTTCTTTTAAGTAGGGAATATCTTCTAAGATATCTCTATTGTATAGAATTTCAGGATACTTTTTCCATCTTTATTTGTTTCCCTCTTTGAATTAGCTACTGTCTATTGGTCAATAGCAGTATCTTGAACTGTACCCACCAAGCAATTGGGAACCACTGCAGATCATTTGGTAGAAACATAACGTGAACTCTGTTGCTGTGCTGGTTAGCATGCAATATGCTGTATTTTTCACCAAATACAACTTTCAGAAACATTTTAAAGGTAGGTCCAGATAGATCATGTTGCAGTAATCAAGATCAAATGCAATTAAGACATGAATATCCCTCTCCCAATCTGACCAGTTTAGGAAGAGTCACAACTCGTGATGAAGTCATAATGGTGCAAAGGCAATCGTCATCATAGTTACAATTTTCAAATCCTGTGTCAACTGGAGTTCAGGGAACACTTCCAGACTGTAAACCTCCTGTTTGAAGGGGAATGCAATCCCCTAAACACGCTGAATTTCAGTCCCTCAATCCATTTTCCTGGGTGTCATTAGCATAACTTCCAAATCTTATGAAAATTAATTTTACAATAGTATCTACTGGCTCCTTAACCCTGCATGATCAACATCACTCCAGGTGGAAAATTTGATTAGGGCTCTACCTATTTGATTATATGATAATCTTGGCAATAAGAAAAGGACTTGATCTCCTTTCTCTCAATCTTTTTTTTTTTTTTTTTTGCCTTTTTGTCATACCATAAATTCTTATTCTCGGAATTGTTTTAGTTCTATATATTATATACTGCCTCTGGCTGAAATAGAGATTGACTGATTGACTGATCATTCTCCCTAATCATTCTCATTGCCCATTTTTGGAGGTGTTTCAGGCTCAGCATTTTTGAATCCAGGATAATGGGATTCAGATTACATTTTCTATTCCTGACCACATGCAATCACGATGCAATCTATTCTGTGAGAGACTAAAGCTTTTTAAATATAGGAAACCCAGCTGGGATAAAGTAATTTCATAAAAATATTTTAATCATGATTTTTAAAAGGGAGGTCATTGTTATTTAGATACCCTTTCTTGTCTTTTTTCTTGCTATTTCCTTTCCTTTATGTTATGACCTTGTATAAGTATGCACCAAAAAACAGTATCCTTGGAAAGCATGTTTGTAGACTGTTTAAGTTGCTGTGCTAATTATCTAGAAATACTTAAGAAAATAATATGTCTAAATGAACCATGCAACTAGATTTGTCTTCAGCTCCTGATTATGTTGAACAACTTATTTTACTCACTGTGTTTTTAAATATCCAAGGTATTGTTTTGATTTGTGTTTTTCTTATTAACAGGTGGAATGGATAGAACAGCAAATTGTAAAAATAAGAACAAAGAGAGATTACAAACCTGGTAGCATCCAGTCCATGTATTTTAATGATCCTAAATGGCAAAGTATGTGGTACATGGTAAGTCTATATAGGCTAATATTTGTACAGAAATCTGTCATAGTAAACACAGTTGTCTTCAATGCAATTTGTTTAGGAACAATATTTTAAACCAAAGCATTTGATGTTGCCAAAGTAAGACCTGTATTTATAGTCCTGTAAATTAAACTTTATCATGGTAATTGGTAAAGATAATCTATTTAAAAAAAGAAGATACATTTTTGAAAGTTCTATTTTTCTTTAATTAAACCTATAATATAGCTCTTTCATAATTTCTTTCCAGTATTAGAGTAAGAATATTAATGTGCTTTTTGTAGCCAACATTTTTTTCATAACTAAAATATTGGCAATAATTTAGGAAAAATATGAGCTGAATCTGATGCAAATTGTATTACTACAAGGAAGTTCATGTGAAGACATTCTAGGAACTTCAGTTGGCCAGAATGTGGCTTTATAAATATAAATAATGTAAGAACTAAAACCAAACAAAGAAATCTGGAAAACAGAGATTACATGAAAGCAAAACAAAGAAACTTAATTTAGAAGTGTTCATAAATTCATTTGTAATCTCAAGGAGAGATGCATTTTAAATATCTATATTTAATATTTCTAACCAAATTTGCATTTATTTAAACAGAAGTAATATGTTATTTCCCAAATTTTAAATACTACTTGTCCCAAAAAGGGATATACTTAATTTTTCAAGTGATTTGCTATAGTAAATATGAATTAGTTTCTTGTGTTGCAGTATTTTATACATCCTGTGATCTATGGGCAATGAAGCTACATTAGAATTAAATACTGAAGATTGTTATGTAATTTTTCCAATTTCCTCAAAAACTTTAATTCAAAATAAGTAACTAAATGTGCATCATATTTAGTTAATAGATTACTAGATCAGATGTTTTTTCTCCCCAACTTGCTGATAAGATTAGAAGAAGCTGTTGAAAGAAAGAAATTAGCATAAGATGCAAATATCTGTTGACATGGCTGCCTCTGATGATTTCTTAACATTTCAATCACTTCTTTCCCATATCAGTTCAGTCCTCTTTCTCTTCTGAATGATTTGTACATTTCAGATTTGTACATTTCACCTGACTTGTTCTCTGTCCTTAATGGATGAGAGTAGACTATAGGTGCCTAGCTGTAACTATTTTATTTATTAAACCAATTTATATAGCTGCCCATCTCACCACAGGTGACTCTGGGCTAGACTAAATCACCATGTTATTTTCCAAATTATATCTACATGTTCTTTTGTGCAAGCAACCAGCCTCAGGAAAGCTTCATTATAAAAGTTATACTCCTAATTGTTTCCCTTTCCATTCTTAAAACTATCTGCTATCCAACAATCCTTACTCCATTCTCCATCCTGGTTTTTTTTCTTTTTTGGGGGGGCGGGCAGTATTCTACTGGAAGGAAGAAGGGGGATGTCTGCATCTACTTTATGCTAATGTGCCTGACAATGATTTGTGTGTGAAAAATGGTAGATATATGCAGATGTGCATCAATTAATTTTGTAAATGGGGTACCTTATTTTACAGACATTTAATTGCGTTTAGTAGTTATTGATTCAATGTATAAAAATTAACTTTGTATCTTGGCCCTGAACTTATTTTGTAGAGTAGCTTGTGCTAGCACACATGCCCCCATGCAAATGTGTACACACGCACACACACACACACACTAATTTATATGAATGTTTCATGAGGGCATTTATTAAGCAGGAGTTAGGAATCTCCATACTGGTTTCAGATACAGATGACAACCCTAGGTTGACAAGATGAGGAAGCTGAAGATTACATAGGAATTTTTTTGGGTCCATTCTTTCATTTTGCAGATATTATCTTAAATTCAGGGCCATTCTTTTGAATACAAGCATTACCATTTGATTACAGCTCTGCAACACAATTAAGAAAGTTAATATAAAGCAACTTGGGAGGGGTAGTATCAAATGTTTATTTTTATAGTCAGTTGTTGACAACTTGCTGAAATTTTTTTTCAAAAAATACTTCATGCAGAGTTCCAAGCTCAAATCTCCAGTCCCTTTTTCCATTTGTTTAAAGTTTTCAAGAGTCTATTGTATCTAAGAGTTTTGTATAATATTGAAGAGGTTCCTTTGATTCTAAATGTTGTGAATACACATTATTTTTCAATCATGTTAATGTTCTTAATTGGTAGGATCTCATGAACTTTAACATTAGCTATTGTAGCAAGTTGAAGCTTGTTACCTGTTCTTTTGCAAAATAAATTGAGCAGAAAGAAGTTTCCCACTAATAATGAAGTCTCGAATACTCTCCCTTGAACCGATCACATTTATCTATGTGTTTATAGCCTGAGTTAACAAAGAGAGGGAGGAGAGCAGAAGGAGTTTCTTCCTTTTTCAAGCTAAATTTTAAACATGAATTAATGATAATGAGTATATATATAATGAGTATATATA